CCCTGTAGGTATCACAGGGAGTAGTTGAGCCCAGTCTTGACAGTGGCATCTCCTAGAAAATGACTTTCTAATACATGTAGGGCAGTACCTGTGCTGGGGAAACTCACAACAGTGTCTATCCTGGCTCCATGTGAGTGGGTTCCAGTGTGTGGTTGATGCTTTTATACCTGTGCATGCTTTCTTGATGGATTTGGCTTCTTTTGCAAGAGTTCCTCCCCTAGACTGAAGGTGGACCAAGTGCAAGATCAGCAGCTGGAGAAGTGACCAACCTGGAGAATATACACTGGGATCTTGACTCTTCTGTGTTCAACACACTGGACAAAGTGAAATGCTCCCCTATTTCCAAGAACCCGATGTGGAATCTGCATGTTTAGTGCAATACAGTATCTTTATTCTTCGTCTTTAATATACTGATGTCATGTGGAAGTGTCTTCTAGAACACTGTGCTTCTGTCTCTGTGCAGGCGAGGCTGCGTTCTCATTTGATTTTAGCATGGGGGAAGTGTCCTGTAAGTTTTGAAGCTAACGCTCACTTGTGTCCAGCATCCAGTTGCTACGCTAGGAGAGAAATCCTGACTTCTAATAAAACCTGACAGTCTGTGGTGAAGGCAAATTAAAGTACTGCTCTGTCTTACCCTGAGCTGATGAACGCTTCCTTGTTGTGTCATCCTGTGTCTCGCTGAACAGGAGCCAGGCTGATAGCCTACAGACAGTGCCCGCAAGAATTCAGCTCCAGAACAGGTGCTGATTACCCGCTTGCGTTTCTACCCAGGTATTTTGTGGCCTGAGGAGAGAGGCTGGTGAGTGGCATTAGGGACTGGAAGAAGGCAGGGAAGGATGTTGATCAGAGTAGAGGAAACTTCCAAATCCAGTATTTAAGGCATCAAAGCTTGTTGTGAATTCAACAGCAGTTTCAGAGATGCTGATTCCAGCCTGAAAGCCCTTCATGAGTGCAGTGTAGATGGCAGCTTTGGTGTTAGCCAGCCTCGTTACATCCCATTTCTGCCATGTTACCAAAGGTTGAAATTCCTCCTTAGAGAGAGAGAGGAAGCCAAGCTCTGGAGATGCACAAGATGTGTATTGCCATGTTTTTGCACTGAAATAAAGGAATGTATCAAACTTTGCTATGTGGTCTTTCCCCAATAGTCATCTCGAGTCGACGCTGGCTGCGTGAGGCTGCTCCCCTCTGGTTCTTTGGCTCCACACCTTTAATAAGGTTCATGGAACATACCTCAGTTTGGTGGGGCATGAAATCAAAGCCATTTATGAGATCTTAGTCAGTGTAGCTTCCTCGACTTGACCAGACACGCTGCTAAGGGCTAGCAGCTTGCACCCCAAGCGGTGTTCCCGGGGAAGGAGGGTGCTTCACGTTCCTTCAGGCCCAGAGGTGAAGGTACTGTAGTCCTTAGTGCAGACTTACAGCAGTCGGAATATTTTAGTCACTCCACTCTGGTTTCTTTTCCTTTGGCAGTGCTGTTGTGTTGTGATGACGTCGCGAGTCCCAGTGGTTATTATTCCCGCTCATTTTGTGTACGATCTTGTGAATTTATTCGTTCCTTTCTTTCCTCTGCTAGTCCTAATGACAGCAGCACCCATTAACTTATATTTCAGAGTAAATGATGTAAACCTTATTGTGTCTATGTCCAGAACTATATTGATGAATAAATATCTGGTTTAATTGCACATTCAATGGATTCAATAAAAAGCACAACTACTTGTGATGACCTGGGAGACATCTGTGTCTTTGGTGCTAGTCGAGCAGAGGTGTAGATGTCGAGTGCTGATGTGGCACGAGGACGGCAAAGCTACTCCCAGGCTGCTGAGAGCCAGAGGGATGCTCGGTTTGTACCCGAGCGTGGATGGACTGAATGTATCCCCAGCCTGGATAGCTTCACCATGGCTGGTCGTAAAGGAGTTGGCCGAGAAGACCTCTGGTCCAACCCCTTCTGGAGTTCTGGACCTTGCAGTGCTGAGGCAGCCCCAAAGGTGTACCCGTGTATGTGTGTGCGAGCCGGGTGTCCCGTACTTGGAGCAGGCCATGTTGGAAGACCAGGGCGAGCTGCTGGGCGTGACATATCCCACCCATTCCAGCCCATTCCGAGATCTCTTCCAACCTGTTCCAAGGTGTTTCCCGCAGGTGGCGGGGGAGGATGGCTCCTGGCAGCACCTTCCCACCGCGTTCTCTCTGTGCCACGCTGCCTGGGCAGGAGTGGCCGTGTGGTGAGAACTGTGTTGCTTTAAACAGGGAGGGCCAATTTCTTCATCCCCTTCCTTACCTTATCGCTGCTTTTTCCTGAACCTGCCGGAAATGTGACTGTCTCTGAAATCGAGCTGGTAACCCCAGACGAATAAAGCGTTGGTGAAATGGAGCCAGGCACCGTGTGCGCACGGGCGGCGCGGGGCTCCGGGCCGCGCTCTGCACGGAGGCGGGTGGAATTTGCTGGGCGTGACATATCCCACCCATTCCAGCCCATTCCGAGATCTCTTCCAACCTGTTCCAAGGTGTTTCCCGCAGGTGGCGGGGGAGGATGGCTCCTGGCAGCACCTTCCCACCGCGTTCTCTCTGTGCCACGCTGCCTGGGCAGGAGTGGCCGTGTGGTGAGAACTGTGTTGCTTTAAACAGGGAGGGCCAATTTCTTCATCCCCTTCCTTACCTTATCGCTGCTTTTTCCTGAACCTGCCGGAAATGTGACTGTCTCTGAAATCGAGCTGGTAACCCCAGACGAATAAAGCGTTGGTGAAATGGAGCCAGGCACCGTGTGCGCACGGGCGGCGCGGGGCTCCGGGCCGCGCTCTGCACGGAGGCGGGTGGAATTGTTTGGTTATGAGCTGGGGAACAGTCAGTGTAGGAATACGGAATGACTTTATTTTTATTTTATTACCCTTCGGATAGGTATATTTGAGGCCAGTGCTGTGGAAAATTGTGTGCACTTACAAGCACCGTTAATGTGTGGGAGATGTTGCAGAAACACCCACAAAATTATCCATGGACAGGAGAAGACATTTTTACATGAGAAAATCTGGGTCTCGGCCTGTCCAAACCATCAAGAGGCGATTCAGTGACAGCCTGCGAGTGCCCTGGTGAGCGGAGAATACGAAGTCTACAGCCTGTTCTCATCCCGTAACCTCGAGTTGTATGCGCTGTGAGATTGTGCTCGAGAAATGAAAATCTTAGCGTTCAGCTGTGGAATCTCCCATACTGGCTACGTTTTACCGTCGTCGTCTTGCGTTCGGGTGACGGTCGCTGTGCAGAAGCAGCTGGGTGACGGGCCGCCGCCCC